TTTTCTGTAGAGGATCCTGGGAGGGTTTGGGCATAAAAGCTGTGTGTGTTCCAATAAACTTCAGTTGACTCCCAGAACTTTGTTTCGTCTGGTTACTGGGAGAATGGATGTCTGTAAGTAGAGTTGAGAGGCCCCCTGGATATTCGGATCCGGCGGGTTCATCCGAACTTTGAAAAAAAGTCTGGGTTCAGGATCGAACTTGACCCCGAACCCCATTGAAGTCAATGGGAACCTGAACTTTTGGGCACAAAAATGGCTCTAAAAGTGTCCTGGAAAGGGCTAGAAGGCTGCAAAAGGAAGTAAAATGGGAGTAAGAGCCCTGCAAACAAATGTGGATAGGGAAATCACTTAAAATAACATAAAATACCTAACAATTAAAAATACAGCTGAGCCATAAAATAGCACTAGATGGAATCTTTGATTTTAGCTTTGGAAGAACAAAAATCTAAATCTAAAGCATATCTGTCAAGAGGATCACCAGAATTATCCATTTGAGAAAGGGTTGGAGTGCAGGGTATTCTCTTTCATTGTTCAAACTGAGCTCAACTCCTGATGCATAGAGAAAAGGCCTTCTGAAGCCTCTGCTATTGTGTACATAGTTTATACTAAGCGACCCATAGGTTGAGGAGGCGGTGACTGTGGTGGTGTAGGTGGAAGCGGCGGTGGAGGTGGTAGCCAACACTTTATTTTTTTAATTGGGGTAGCCCCCAAAATATTGGGACATATAAAAAAACAAACATTTGAGGCCTGCGTTGCATTTCTTGCAGTCCTGATGCATGGAGAAATGTTTATACTACTTAGTTTATACTAAGTGACCCATAGGTTGAGGAGGCGGTGACCGTGGCGGTGTAGGTGGAAGCGGCAGTGGAGGAGGAGGTAGCCTCTTAATTAAGCCTCTTTCTTTGTCACCTTTCTCCTTTTCTTTCATTGGCCTCTGTCACGTGCGTGGGCTATAGGCCCAGCCGAGACAGTGGGGAGAGTGTGGAAGTGACAGGGTTAATGACACCAGACCCCTGGTTACCTGTTGCTAGTCCCAGCAACCACTCAATTAACCCCTGCAATCCCTTCTACACTAACCCCCTTAATACACTTTACTCTACTGCCACCACCAAGACTTTTAAACCCGGGCGTCTTAGGTTACCCCACACACAGGAGAATTATAGTATCACAGTTCTACTTTTACTGATAAAACATATATAGTTAACCCTTTTTGGTAACGTGTTTACCTGAGCTTTCCTCTGGAGAGTGAAGCTCATAGAGAACAGAGACACAAGCTGATTAAGTAAACATTTAATCTGACAAAAAGGATTCACAGTGCTGAGTACAAAATACAGAAATAAATGACATACAGATAACAAATTGCAAAACAGTACATAAAATAAAATAGGAGAAAACACAAGAAATTCCTTACATATATTTACCCCATATAGAATTATTGTGGGAGTCTTAGATGGTATAGGTCTCCTAGAAGTTACTGACAAAAAGAAAAATGAATAACTGAACTTCCCTGGATAGTCCAACACCCTCATATATCTAAACTAGTTGTTTCTCAGTGGGCAGACCCCTGGGGGGGATCAGAGGGGGTTGGTCTGGCAGTCTATTGCCCACTCTATGAAATTCCTTGTGTCCAGCTCTGGTGATGGCTATCTAGATGTTTTATGGTCTAGGCCTGGTGCAAGATCAAAGACCACAATAAATGTCATCCCAAGGTTTACAAAAAAACAACTCTTAACATATATAAACACACATCAAACACCAACTCATGCTTTTGGCATGACACCTCCCCCTTAAGATGGTGGACAGAAAAATGCAGCCACAGGCTGATTTATCTGTCTACCATTAACCCTCTAGTTGCCGAGACAGGTCATCTGCATTCCCATGCAAGCTGCCCTTTTTGTGCTGGGCAGTGAAATTATACTGTTGGAGGATAGGGCTCCAATGGAGCAGTTTACCATTGTTACCTGTCACCTGCATCAGGTTGTGATCAGTCCATACCACAGCTACACCCTCAACAAACATGCCTGATTTGCCTGTTTCAATTTCCCATCGATCTCTGGTAACATCCCTTAAACCACACCCACTGCGCTCATGTAAGGGGAAGAAACCAATGGATTTCTGCAGCACTCCCCGGTAAGCACACAAAAAAGCAGACAGAGAACACTCCCAGGATAGATGTGCTGTATCAACATCCATCATCTCTTTCATTTTGTGGTCTGTCTGCTGGGCTTGTTGCACTATCAGACTCTGAACCTTTGGTTCACAATAAGAAAGCTGCTTAGGTATCTGGTTGCATCGAAAACAACGGCGGGCATCTGACTCACTTGACATAGCCCCGGCTACGCTGGCAGTCGGCGGTGAAGTTCTCACTGCAGATCTTACAGGTGGTGATTGAACTGTAGCTTCTCTCCAGGTCGAAGTAGCAGCTGACACAAGTCCACGCCTGGATGTGGGTGCATGGATGTCGGCATAGTCATCTGCCAGTTCTGCAGCAGCCCTAGCATTTTTTGGCTTTCTTTCCAAAATCCACTCTCGTACATTAGGGCTCCGGGTCTGCAAGAACTGCTCCAGGACCATTAAGTCATTAAGGGCTTCATAGGTAGTAGCTTGTACTCTTGTTACCCATTGCCGGAACATGGTTTCTAATTGTGCAACATATAGAATGCAGCTGGATGATGGGCATTGCTGCATACTCCTAAACTTTTTCCTGTAAGACTCAGGAGTAAGGTTAAAAGTTTTTTGCAATGCAGATTTGATTGCCTCATAGTTGTTATCAGTCTCTGGGGGAAGGGACACAAACACATCCAAGGCTTTCCCTTTCAATTGTGGAGTTAAATATCTGCCCCACTGGTCTGAGGGTAGTTGATGCTGCCTGCATACTTTCTCAAAACTTTTTAAAAATACATCCAAATCTGTCCCTTCTTCGAGGGAAGGAAAATCATCCTTACGGAGCCTACGTGTGCTGGACTCTGATGCATTGCTGTTCAGTGAGGACTGAAGGGTAAATTTCAGTTTAGCAAGTTCCAGCTCATGTCTCCTTTGTGCCTCCCTTTCTGCAGCATGCCTTTGCGCTTCCCTTTCGGCTAGCCTCTCTGCAGATTCCCTTTCTGCAGCCTGCTGTTGGATCATCACATGCAGGGCCTCCTGAGGATTTGCAGCCATCAGTTGCCGAAATAAATCAGTTGAGCAAATGTCCTTAATGTTTTGAGGGGTACAACCACCAGGCATTTCAGTAAGCAACACTCCTGCAGTAGTAGGGAGCTCGGTAACCCTTTCAGTGTCCGTCTCTGGCTGGAAAATATGGCTATCAGCCTCCACAAGGTCAGCAATAAGTTGTGCCTTATTTTTGCCAAAAGTTGGTAAATTCTTTTCTTGGCACAACAATTCCAAGGCCTCTTTTGATTGTTTGCGATAGGCCTCCATATTCACAAATAGGATAGAGAAAGAAAAACAAAAGATGGGAGGGAGAACTGTTTTGCACTTTGTATGTATTTTAAATCAGCACTGAGCTTGGTCTTTGGAAATTACACAAAAACAAGTATGCAATTTCTTTTAGTGCTAAGACCCCCTTTACAGGTAAAATCTAGCAAGCACTAAAAATCTCTAAATATATCCCACCAGCTGCCGCCAGTTTGTCACGTGCGTGAGCTATAGGCCCAGCCGAGACAGTGGGGAGAGTGTGGAAGTGACAGGGTTAATGACACCAGACCCCTGGTTACCTGTTGCTAGTCCCAGCGACCACTCAACCCCTGCAATCCCTTCTACACTAACCCCCTTAATACACTTTACTCTACTGCTACCACCAAGACTTTTAAACCCGGGCGTCTTAGGTTACCCCACACACAGGAGAATTATAGTATCACAGTTCTACTTTTACTGATAAAACATATATAGTTAACCCTTTTTGGTAACGTGTTTACCTGAGCTTTCCTCTGGAGAGTGAAGCTCATAGAGAACAGAGACACAAGCTGATTAAGTAAACATTTAATCTGACAAAAAGGATTCACAGTGCTGAGTACAAAATACAGAAATAAATGACATACAGATAACAAATTGCAAAACAGTACATAAAATAAAATAGGAGAAAACACAAGAAATTCCTTACATATATTTACCCCATATAGAATTCTTGTGGGAGTCTTAGATGGTATAGGTCTCCTAGAAGTTACTGACAAAAGAAAAATGAATAACTGAACTCCCTGGATAGTCCAACACCCTCATATATCTAAACTAGTTGTTTCTCAGTGGGCAGACCCCTGGGGGGGGATCAGAGGGGGTTGGTCTGGCAGTCTATTGCCCACTCTATGAAATTCCTTGTGTCCAGCTCTGGTGATGGCTATCTAGATGGTTTATGGTCTAGGCCTGGTGCAAGATCAAAGACCACAATAAATGTCATCACAAGGTTTACAAAAAAACAACTCTTAACATATATAAACACACATCAAACACCAACTCATGCTTTTGGCATGACAGCCTCCTTCTGAATCTATATCTTTATTATCAGGCCAGTATCTTTTAGAATTAAGAATTGCATAATTATTTTTACTTAAATTTTTTATTATTTCTTTGAAAATAGGATATTCACATATGATTATGAAGTAGTGATGGTACCATGTATCACGTTAGTATTTGTAATAATATATACACGTCAAAACATAATTATGTTCCTGCTAAGAAAATAATTTTTTTTTGTACTCTTTTATAGTCTGTGTTACGGCTCCCCCGGTAGGAGAGGGGTTACTGCCGTATAGGACGTTCCCTTCCCGAATACAGAGGTAGCCACTGAGCACTCCAAACAGCCGAACAGCTATCACACGAACCAGTTAGTCTCCCAAATACCCGAACAAGCGTAATCCATACGAATAATCCCCCCCAATGACCCGTATTGAGGGTCAGCAGGAATCTGGTTTATTGAGGGCTACCTGCCCGGTATTTATGCATGTCTCCCACCTGGTGGACACACCCCTAGGGGACCAACTTGGAGACTGTGACAAGGACTTTACATTGACCAATCAGAGTGTTACACATGTATCCATTTAATTACCCCTTTAATTACCCAAGACCTTCTGCTCTGCCCGGGAGATAATTGTGAAGTAATTCAATTATCTCCCTGGACAAAGACCAAACACCATCTTAAGTAACCATAACAAAAATGGTTAAAAATATATAACTTGACAATATTACAGTATAACAGAGGTATTCAACGTGTCCCCAGATAGCTGGGATCTGAGCGCACAAAAGTACTGAATAGCGCTCAGATCCTAGGCACACAGTCTAACCGCCGTGGAGCCAAAGTGTTCACAAAGTCAGTTCTCCATACGAATAGACTCCATGGGATGGCTATCTGGGGTATGGCTTTTTGTGAATAAAAGTACCGAACATAGGGTGTTCATGGGTGTGACAGATCCATCTGTATAGACCAAGATTGCTGGTTCGTCTGTTTTGCCTCTTTTCGTGGAATTACCTGTCCGTATGTCCCTGTTCGTATATTTGACTTTTTTTACCGAATGAACTTACCGAACGGACGGCCACCCAGAAGAGAAGTGCGCTGCTGGTTAACCTCTTGATCCCAATTAGAACGTTGTGGTTAACCGCAGACACCTCTTAATTATAACTGAATACAGGGTGGTTGTTGTTCGTATGTCGACCACGAGGCGGCGGCCATTTTAAACCAAACGAAAGACCAGCGGTGTTCGGCACAGATTCTATGGAACTAAAAACTGACACTTTTTCTGCCTTACACCGCTAAAACCACAGACCGCCCTTCTCAGTCGACAAAGGCATGCGAACACCGGCCGTTCGGGAGTTTGGACTACACGAATGGACTTAACCCAGATAGCCTTTCCATGGAGTCAATCGCATACGGAAAGACTGTAAAAGAATTTGACTCCATGGCAATTGAACTCTGCGTATGGGATCTGAGTGCTATTCGCTAAGAATATGCACTCAGATCCAGGCTATCTGGGGATATGTTGCACGAATGGAATATGTTCAGTAGTTGTATAATTATTTATTTTTTTTGTGTTTTCTTTTAGGTTTCATCTAAAATGGCGATTTGCCTCTGTCCTGGGAGATAATTCAATTACATGCTATATGTCTGTCTGCCATTACAGTCTCCCATTTTGTCCCCTAGGGGAGTGTCCACCAAGTGGGAGACCTGCATAAATACGGGCGGGTACCCCTCAGCAAACACTGTTCTTGTTTTATCTTCAATGTGGAGCTTGGTCTCGTTATTGGGGGGATTTACTACACACGAATAGCGACTGATTGATGGAAGTGTAAGCCGTTTGGAGGATATATTGATTCGGCTGTTAGCAGCGATTCGTGGGTTTACTGTTCGGGAGTTGGAGTACCCGTACAGGTCCCATTCGGGAGGTTGGCGCATTCCCCTGCTTGCAGTTTGTACGATTGGAGTCCGTACGAATAAAGTTTGCGTTCTTGCGAGAGGGCAGGATTAACTAAATGGCGGTTTTGACTATTTGATGCCGAGGGTGCCGTTATAGTGGGTTTTCTACCGAAGGAGAAGGGAGGTCGGCGGCTTCAGCGGTGTTCGTGCCAAATAATGTCCGTTTTGAGTTCCAAGAGTTTGTCATTTAACACTGCTGAGCATTCGTGTATTTAAAATGGCCGTGACCTTGTGTTCGGGATACGAACGGCGGCCACCCAGCTATATGGACTCAAAACTGAAACTACCGAACAAAACTCCTGAACCGCCGACCACCCAGTAGAGAAGTGTGCTGCTGGTTAACCAATCAATGGGGCCAAGAGGTTAACCAGCAGCACACTTCTCTACTGGGTGGTCGGCGGTTCAGGAGTTTTGTTCAGTAGTTTCAGGGGAAGTATATTGAGTCCATACAAACGGGGTAAAACACGAATCAAATTAAATCACACAAATCAAGCAAACGAAGGAATAGTAGTTCCATGTAAGTCCAAGACAGAGGGATCTGTCACAGTCTGTTTATACTTTATTTCGTTTTTTCAGTTTATTCTCTCAGTCCATTCAAATTACATGTCTACATATCCCCAGATAGCTTAGATCTGAGCGCACATAACTACCGAATAGTGCTCAGATCACACACATACAGTTCAATTGCCAAAGTCTTTAATTACACGAATAGGCTCCATGGCATAGCTATCTGGGTTAAAACATTTACAGGGTAAAAGTCCCGATCAATCCAGCGTTCGGCTAAACAGCCACGGATAGAAGCAAGGAAGGCTGGAGGCTCAGCGGTGCCCGCACGTAAAAGTGTCCGCTTTTAGTGCACTGATTCCAGGCTGAGCACTGCTGGCCATCTGGCGAGCTCCATAACACCGCCACCGTGTGGTGGCTATGTGTAACTGCAACCACCCAGCAACAGTCAATTAAGCTGCGGTTAACCACAGATACTGGGTGGTCAATTGACGGCACACGCTAGCTTCAGGGAAGTGAATTGACAGCACACTCCAGCTTCCCGGTGGTCACGCCTTCGTTATTTTGTTCGGTAGATAAAATCTACCGAATGCCCTGGCAGAAAGGCATAAATAAGCCTTTCTGCAGGGAGAATAAAGTATTTTATATAAGTCCGGGCCATAGTCTAAAGGGAGCAGGTGGGCAACCAAGCTCCTCCAATGCAGAGTGGCGAGATTGGTCTCGTCACAGCCATCTAAGCTATGTCATTGGCAAGGTGTGTCTTCACTATGTTTTTGAAATGTAGAATATGTGATGACATGCCACACCCCTGGTAGACTGCAGAATAGAGTTTAGATACTCCGCCACTCAGGACCTCCCACATTGAACAGCTGATGGCCATGTTTCATCAACAATAGGTTCAATTTAAATAGAACAACAAGCTGTTCATGTTCACAGGCTCCTGACGATGGTGTTTTGAACACGACGAAATGCGCGTCAAGCTTTTTCTTTTTCTTTAATCTCTGCCCTTGGTAGCACTTTTTTATTTTTGTTACCACTATGGTTTTATTGATTTTTAGGTGTTTATTTATTTATAACTTTTAATAGGGAGAGTTGGTTCAGGTAGACACAAGTGGTTAGACCACGGTGTCGAGGTAACTTTTAGGGTGAATTGAGAGATTTATTTATTTTTTGTGTGAGGCTTTTCATCCGTGTTTAATCCTGATTACCCGGTCCCTTGTTCTCTGGGGACCCTGTGCCTCTTTGCTCTCCCTAACCTTGTTTACACTACCTTTCTGTCAGTCGGACACTAAGGGAACTGGAACTTAGATGCTAGCTAGTACTCCAGACAATTGATCCCCTGGGCACCGTTTAGTAGATCTAAATTTTTTTCAAGTTATACTTTTTGTGTGCATATCCCTTTTTATCCTTAGATTGATTAAAGGTAGGGCCTCCCTTCCTCATTTCTTATACAGTGGAACTCTCCTGATGTTGGTTTCCCCTTGTGGGACTCTACACATCATCTACTCCTATG